TTCACGGTGACTGTTTAGATGAGGATGACGGACCTCCCGCTCTCTCTCCTCTCTGCAGCTCGGGATGCTCTCACCTCTGCTCTCAGGCGCTCGACGCGTTCGGTGAGTTTCTGAAAAAATACCCTCGGTTTCTCGCCTGTAGCTGAAACGTCCCGAGCGGCGTGTTAACCTCTGCCGTCCTGTCTGCAGTCAGAGCGTGTAAGCTGTTCATCACCAAAGAAATGCTGCTGCTGGGCGTCTCCATCGGATACACAGGTGGGTGGAGACGAGCTGGGCGAGGAGAGGACGGTCTCCTTTAAGTCACAATCAGATGTGTTATGAAAATAACTGAATGCAAAAAGCTGCTCAGTGCACATTTAAACACGACTGATACTGAAGCCCGTCGATCTGACTCGATGCCTGCGGCTCCGTCAGGTTTGGAGCTGACCTTCTACAGCGGCGTGTACGGCACGTGCATCGGCGCCATGATGAGCTTCGGCCAGGATGCGAAGAGTTTGATCGGGATCTCTGGGATCTGCATCGGCGTGGGCGAGATATTAGGTGAGTCATCTTCGTTCGTCTGAAGGGAAAACGCCGCAGGGCGAGAACGAGACGAGCTGAGGAGTGTCGCGTCTCTCCGGCAGGTGGTAGCGTGTTCGGGATTCTGAACAAACGCATCGGCTTTGGGAGGAACCCCATCGTTCTGCTCGGGTTCATCACCCACATCATCGCCTTCTACCTGATTTTCCTCAACATCGCCAGCGACGCTCCGCTGGCCCCGGAAGAAGGAACAGATCTGGAGGCCTTCATCGCCCCCAGGTAAAGAAAAATCACGTGAGGCGCTGAGGCTGAGTCATAACCACAAATTTGACTTTTAAAAAAATAATTCGTTATCAAACTAATGAAAAAGGAGAGATGTTGATGAAAAAATATGAAAAGTTTTTAATACATATGATTATTAATAAATGTGTGTGCATTTAAAATAAAATCACTGAAATAATGCAAATGAATGGCTTTGTTACCTTTTCACAATAAAAGCCTTGTTCTCTTTCCCCTGAGCCTGCGTTACGAGCCCTCTGACTGTGTTCAGACTTTTCTAAACGTATTTAAACGATGCTGTCGGGTTAACGTTTCCATTTGTGTGCCTCAGCGTGGGCGTGGCCTTGTTCTGCAGCTTCCTGCTCGGTCTGGGTGACAGCTGCTTCAACACGCAGCTCCTCAGCATCATCGGCTTCATGTTCCACGACAACAGCGCCCCCGCCTTTGCCGTCTTCAAGTTCATCCAGGTGACACAAACACTGAACAGGAGAGTGTATTGTTTTACAGCTGAGTTTTATTTTGAATTAACCTGTGTTTGTCATTTCCTGTGCAGTCCATCATGGCCGCTCTGGCCTTCTACTACAGTAACTACCTGCTGTTGCACTGGCAGCTGCTCATCCTGGTCGTGGTGGGGTTTCTGGGCACGATAACCTTCTTTAAGGTGGAGCACATGGCCAACTCCAGCAGGCGGCAGTCGGACTACGACAGTATCTGAGCCGGGCCGGATGACGAGGGCACAGCTGGAGTTTTTTCGCTCTCCACTCGCCCAGGGACGACCGGCCCACAGACTGATGCTCGCTGTGGGACATTTAGATTCTGAAGCCGGGACCAAACGCTCGTCCTGATCTCAGCATTTATCCAATTAAATGAAACGGCATGTGGTGACGGTGGTGTGCACGCCTCATATACCTCGTTTAGTTTCATAACCAGACTTCTTCTTCTTGTGCACTCGGTCTGTAAATAAACTCTATTCAAGGCAAAGAGAGTAATAATCCCACTGCTCGTGTTGGCGTCACGCTGTTAGTCCTCCTTCGGTGGACCAACTTCCATCTTGACAACAAATTCTGTGAAAAGCCCTCGGTCATCTGTTAGAAACATACAGGAGAGCTCCACGGAAACCACACCCACCTGAGGGGAAAAATGGCGTCCAGATCACTGAGCCAATCACTGAGCAGTTTTAAAAGGTTAAACATATTTTGTAGGGGCGCCTCAGTGATTGGGTATCTCTAACATTTGGTGGCTCACACGGGTAGGTGTCTACAGTAAAAAGAGAGGGGAAAAATGCTTGTTCCTACAAATCCCATAATGCAACATCCACTGAACTGTTTTTTTCCCTTCCTCTTAAAGGCACCCTGTGCAGTTTTTGCCCACTAGGGGGTGCTATTTCACTTAGTTTGAATCACTTTTGGTAAATGTGAAGATGGAGGTGCTACCAAAAACATGAGAAACAATCATGGGGAGATATCCAGGGTTTACCTGCATATAGGGGCGAAAAATCTGTCCTTCCACTAAAAGAAAATCACCAAAACTGATTGTTTTTAACAGCTTTTACTCTAGAAATACTCGTTAAAAAATGAAATGGCCAATAATAAGAGGACATGCGCTTATTAATGTGATCTAAGGAAATGCAGACTTTTTCCACTGACTGTACGTAGACTGGTCATGCCTACATGTGCAGTTCACCTCCTTAAACCACATTTTAACTCAACCAAATGAACTTCAAAATTTAATGTTAATGATTGGGATTAAAAATAAGATTAAACTAAAAGAGCACAAATATAACAAACTGTGCCCTCGTTCATCTTTCTGCTCGTCATCTGACTCCCCTCTGCCCGTCTTGAACTGAACTTAATCGTTCCTTTGGTTCAGGTTTACTTAAATGATAAATTCTTGTTTAAAAATAGTTAAAGTGCCACAAAATGAGTCGAAGCAGTTGTGATGTTCTGTTAGATGGTGCAGTAGCCTTTAACCAGTTAAATCTTCATGATATATTCTCACTTATGATGGTGGACTGTAGCTCAACACGTGAAAACACTGCCACCTAGTGGCTGCAGCGTGCACAGGGTAATCACAGAAGGTATCTTTATTGAGGTCAAGCCTCTCTGGGCTGCTGCTCAGTGCAGATTCACAGTTTCACTCTGGTTTAAACTGATGTGACGCCAAACAGACACAGC